GACCTTGAGGAATTCTTTGTGCTGTGCTGTTGGGGTTTGGGGTTTTTTTATTTTTCTTACAGCAGATAACTTAGTTGGACAAAGTCCTTGATTACCATTACCTCATATCCTCAGGCAATGAGTTGTCAACCAGACCTCCACTTTTCTTACCCACCTTACGCACCTTTCCTGCCCACCCAGTCAAAACCTTCTGTCTCAGGAGCCTTTTCACTAATTATTCTCTAGTAATAAAATTCTCACATTCTGGAAAACAATGGTTTTTCACTGATTAAACAATGCTCCATAGGATGCATTTTAGGAAGACACGAGGGTCTTCCTAAAAAATGGTGCAGAAAGTTGTTAGTAGAAAGCAGTCCTATGGGATAAAGGTCCACAGTCTAATTTCAGACTTCTCAGTTCCAGAGAGAGGGTTGACAGTGCTCAGAGTTTAAACGAATACTAGTTTTGTCAAAATGCTAGCACATGGGCACATATAGAGTCCTATACTCTGCATCAGGCCGACATTGTGCAAAATCGGCTCTGGTTAAAACCTTGGGAGAACTCTTTCTAATTCCCAGCAGTATAACACACTAAATATAACATATATTAACTAAGACAGTGGTACTTTTCAAGGCTGCAGTCATCAAGGAATAGGCCGATGATGAGCATAGCGGGGACAAAATGTTGATTCTTCTCCCTCACAATTATGAACAGCTGGAACATCCTCAGTTTACAATGGGTCTGACACTGCAAAGAAACGAGAACAAATATTTGGAAATCTAATCACATAATATAGCTGAATGCTGACAAGAGGACCCTGCTCCAGGGGAGTATACTCCTTTATAGCACATGGCTGCTATCTGAGAGAACAAGTTACATACTATTGAAATCTGCTGTCCTGCTGCCCAGCCTCTGAATTATTGACAATGGTGAAGTTCAGTCACTCGACTTCCTCAAAGCTTCAGATGTGCTTCTGAAGCAAAGATTAAGAGGTCAAGAAGGAAAATGTTTCATACAACACAATCAACTCTGTCCCTCAACTAACATTTGAGGTTAAACATTGAGACGTTAAAAGTAAACATGCTTATTTTATAATTTCAGTAAACAGAACAACCTTTCATCTATATGGAGATAACAAGGAGGAAGAGTGGGTCAGCTCTTCATGGGGAGTTTTCAGCTTTTTACCCACACATTTTTAAAAATACACCCCTCCCACAAACAAATGCAAGAGGGAGTCTGTGGTCCAACAGAGATGTATTTACAAAGTAAGGGCTTAAGTCTCACACTATCTTTTTTCATTCATGTACTCAGAATTTGTTCCAATGCATATCTATACTTCAAAGATGAGTCAGTGGTTTTCTTATGCTTGAGCATCACAGCCAGTGTGACAGATGAATCATGTAAAGTCTGCTGATACGCATCACACCATCAGCCAGACCATCTTCAGCTGTCTTCTGTCCATCGGTGTCTATTCCCACTATTTTATAGATTCTGCTCCCTCTTCTGGCCAGCAACATAATAAAAGAAATAATTTCCCCTTTTTAAATGAAATTTTGAGCATGGGGAGTTGAGAAATGGAAAAGAAACTTTGTATTACTTTGGCAGGACAAAGAGATCTGAGCCATGCATCCACTGCACTTCCATATTAGGATTTCTCTGTAACAAAGGTTTGCAGCATTTGTGGTAAAAGCTGAAAAAATAATTACTGGTATTTTTTGTTCAATGTACTGGCTATCTCTTGGGGGGAGGGTGGGAGAGAGGAAGAGAGGTGCAAGGAAGGAAAACCATCGATCAGCTTTTCTGTATCTTTTCACTTCTCCCCCTCAGCATCATATTGCTCCTTTTCAGATTTCTGCAAAAGAATACTGCAGACCTAAAAATGGAAGTGAGGAGAAATTCCATCTTTAGGAATAGCAGACTTGCCAAAATGGGCTCAGACAATGTTATATTACCTATAGCATCCAGAGCACACGCTCAAAAAGGCCAGAGTTTTCTCTCTTTCAGTACGTAAAATCCAAAAAGTGTGCCTCCAAAGCAGATACTGCAGTTTATGATTATTTTTGCCTTTTTTCAGGTTCTTTCACTTACCTTTGAGGTTACCAAGCAGAGACATTTGGGACAAAGGGCTTTGAAACCTTTTCTAGCCATTAAAGATGTCACCAAAAATTCAGCTAATGTAGAAGGTACAAACTGCACTACACTGTACATCCATGACAGCAAAATGTTGCCCCTTTGACAACTTCCTTTGATGGGAGATTTCTGAGGCCTCCCACAGCTGAACTTTGTCTGATGAAGCTCCCCAAAGCCACATCTGAGGTGGAGCAGAAAGGACAACTCAGTGACAGCATTGCTTGCCACCAAACGTGTGATAAGCAGGCTTTCAACAGAAGCAGTATTGGGTTTTACATGGAAACTGCACTGAAAATCTCAATGTATGGTTTTAGCCAAAGCATTGTCTGTACATGCAATAATTCATTTGCTCAACAGACAGCAAAATAAGGAGATGATTCATTCAGCCTTCTCTAGCTGAGAATTTTGTAAAATTTTCAGATTTTTGCATTATGCTCATTTCAAGTGGCCATTGTCTCACATATCTTGATTACCTTTCCTCAGAGAGTACATTGCAGCCTGTTGGGCTTGAGCCACAGCAAAAGACTGAACTGGTGTGGTCAGAACAGCAACCAAAGTTTGCAGTGAACCTGGCTTTAAAACTAAAGCTGTTTTTAAAGCTGCAATTTCCAAATCTACTACAAGTCAAGAACACTTGAAACACTACTAAGTACTAGAAAGCAATGTTCCTCTGGCAGTTATACCAACTCTAAGCCTAGAGTCTTCTACATGTCTGCTGCTATTCACACACTCAGGCCCAATTCTGCACTCCTTTGTTCAAGCACCAGTCCAAGGGAGTGAAAGCTGGTCGGAGAAAAACGTGTGGCATCAGATCTTGTGATATGGTAAAAAAATTACACTTTCTATGAAAGGAACCTTGTTTTCAAACACATTCCACAAGGTGAGCAGCTCTTTCAGTCCTTCTGCATGTAAGATGAGGGGTTTATTTTTTTTCCCTGAGAGTGGGGCTCACAGCCCCCACACTGCTTGCACCATCTTCTCCGCACGCATCACTGAGAGAGGAGGGAAATCCTTCTCTTACTGAAACAGCTACTCATTGAATAGTTCTTCATTATCTAAGAGATAGCCAGGAAATATTTAATAAATATATTACCCATTGCATCAAAATAAATATAATTTATAAAACATTCATTGTCTTTTGCTCATCATCATCATCATCATCATACAGTGTATATTAATGTCCCCAGTACAGATGAGATTTACAAATGTTTGCCTGAATTCTTCCCCTTAATGCATTTTCCCACTTACAATAATCATTGCAAAAAATGCATAAAAACATAACGCAGCTTTATGCCACTGGCATATACGAAAGACAAAACTAAAGATCTTGTGAATACAAAAAGTCTTCAGACAGGAGGAATGGCTTTAGGTACGTCTTCAAGTGGCACTTGCTCCAATTCAACTGTGCAGCATTTTAGAACTAGAGCCAATGTTTACTTGAGAACTCAGAGTTACTTAATCAAATAATAGAACATATAAAAAGCAAGCTGACTTTTTGGAAAAAAAAAAGTTTAATAATACAATAATAGTTGTAGTATCGTCCAGTAACGGTGTATTGTAAAAATGTTCTGAATATTAATTTACCTCAGATAACTTTAGAGTTGTAAATACTTGCATTATAGTGAGGTAGACAGTAAAAAAAAAATCTTTTCTCCATTATTAGCACAGAATTTAAATCTTGTAATAATATCTTAAGGAAATGATAATGTTAAGTAAGGATGAAATATTTGATTAATGCTTAATTCTGTACAACTCAAATATAAACTTAAAAAAATATTAGAAATTATAACATTTCGAGTGCATATCATGTTTTGTACATTAAAAAAGAAATGCATGTTGTTCATCTCCATTTTGCACTTTTCAGTCTGTTTAAATAAACAAATATTTACAACTTTTATATGAACAACAGTGCATCCAAAGCAAAATGTGCATTTTAAATTAATGCTCCTGGTCGAGTCTTTTTATCAGCATTTTATATTATTATTCTATTCTCTTTTTAATTTTTTTCCACGAGTTTGTAGCTCTGCAAAACCAGATAAGCCAACAATTCTAGAAATCAGTGGGGAAAATCCTGAAACTATGAACATAATAGTTACATTAAAAAAGGGCTAGGCATACTTCGAAGTGCACTTCCCTCAGGTGAAGCCACAGCTGACACCAAGGGCGGGAAAGAAACAGAAATCTTACACAGAACGCCTTTTCCAGCACAACATTTTCGTATAATACTGCTGCAAGTTGCAAAAGCTGCCGAGTCAGAACTACCCAGAGACCTGGCAATGGCATCCTTGCACTGTTCGTGAGATCCGAAGGAGTTTTCTTTCCAATCCACCCCGGTTGTCCTTTCTGTAACACTTCGCTTTTCACAGTTTTTCTTTGCTGTCTTAAAATGAAACCTAGCTGGTAATTACAATCTTAAGCAATTTTTTTTTTTTTTCTTTTCTCTGTTTTTTTCCCTTTAGGGGGTGGGGGCCGTAGGCTATTTCTGGCTGGTAAGCTTGCAGGAATGTGAAAGAGAGAGGGCAGAAATGAAACAGCCCTCTTCAGAGCAACTTCAGAGAGAGGGATCAGTCTGCTCCCTCTCCCTCCCCCGACTCTTTTTGTACTTGGTAAATTGCCTTCACCTTTAGAGGGAGGAGGATAGATCGCTAGATAAACCCCGGGGGGAGGAGACGGGAGCGGGGAAGGGACCGGGCGGGGGCCTCGCCGCCTGCCCGGCCCGCACACCCTTCCCCGCCGCCACCGCGGGCACCGGCACCGGGCCCCGCCCGCCCTCGGCCGGTCCCTCCGCCCCAGCCGCGCTCGGGCGGGCGCGGGGCGACGGCCCCGCTCGCCTTTGCCGGCGCTCCTCCGCCAGACGCAGACCCGGCTGCCGCCGAGGGGCGTCCCGCCTGCTACCTGCAGCCGCAGGACTCCACCACCATGTCCTCGTACTGCTTATACACCACGTTGTTGCCGGCGTCGATGTAGAGGATGCTGATGGGAGTCAGTTTGGTGGGGACACAGCAGCTGGGCGGCGTGGAGCCGGGGTCCATGGAGTTCATGAGGGTCTGGATGATGGCGTGGTTTGTGGGCTCCAGGTGGGAGCGCAGCGGGAAGTCGCAGACCCCCTCGCAGTGGTGGGCCTCGTACTCCAGTGGGGCGATGATCCAGTCGTCCCAGCCCAGCTCCTTGAAGTTGACGTGCAGCGGCTTCTTGCTGCAGCGCAGACGGGACTTCTTGCCGTGCCGCTTGCCGTGCCGGCTGGCGAAGGCGGCGCGGCGCTGGCGCCGGGGCGGCGGGCGGCGGGCAGCGGGCGGCGGCGGAGCGCCCAGCTCGGCGCGCAGCTCCCCGAGGAGGCTCCGCCGCCGGGCGCGGGTGAAGACCACCAGCAGCGCCCGCTCCTGCGGCGGCCGGGGTCGCCGCCCGAAGCCCAGGCCTCGCAGGTCCAGCCAGCGCCGCGGCCCGCGGTCCGCAGAGGCCCGCAGTTCCAGGCACAGCCGCTTCCAGGGCCGCTGCTCCCGCAGGCCCTGCCGCACGTCGAACACCTCCCAGCCGGCGGCCGAGGCCGCCCGCGGGTCCAGGGCGCGGGAGTCCAGGGGCCGCGGCGAGAGGCAGGCGGAGAGCTGCACATGCAGCGGGGCGGCGGGCGGCGGGCGGCCGCGGGGGGGCCGCCGGAACAGGCGCAGCTCGGCCCCCACGAGCTCCTCCGTCTCCGAGAGGGTCGACACATCAAACACATACTGCTGCCGCCTCAAGGGAGCGGGCGAGAGATCGTCTGCGAGATAAAAATAATTACAGTCAGTTGCGCTCGGGGGGGATCTGCCGAGAGGTCTCTGAGGTGGCGAAGGGCGACCAGCATCGCCGGCGTGCCCGGCCGGGGCCGCTCCTGCCCGCCTCACCCCCGCCCCCAGCCGGACCGGGACCAGGGGAGGGCGGGGAGAGGAGGAGAAGGAGAAGGAATATGGAAGGACCCGCACCAGGCAGGAAACCACTCTCCAGCACCAGAGGCACACCCTACTCCACGCACATCCTCTGCCTATCAGTCCCACCAGCAGTGTGAGACTGGCAACATTTGTGTGCCCATGTGCATTACGCAGATACATGCATATACATATATACGTATCCATTCTCCTCTAAGAGGAAAACCTGGACTTCTTTTTTGACACATCGGTGTACAAAATGCAGCGCAAAAAGCAAACCAGATTCCCTGGAGCTGCTTTCCAATAAAATGTTTACAACCCAGCAAATACAAAAATTCCCAAAGCCCCTGTGTTTCCCCAGAAGCTAGTAAAGCTTGTGTAGATTTCTATAGTAAAAATGTCACTGGAGCCTCTGTTCAGCAGCCCCTCGCCGCTTTTCCAAACTCAGCTCGCTCCAGGCATAAAAACAGATACTAAAGAAATATACACCCGCCTGTTATTTATCGATATCAGAGGTCATTGCCATTCCTAATCAGTGTGCTTCACAACCTCGGCTCTACCTGACAGGTCTGGGGGAACCTCTTGCGGGGCATGAGGGACAAGGGCATGATTTATGCAAACCAACATCTTCAGACGCGCCACAGCGATGTAAAAATCAATCCGGATTAACGTGCAGTTAATCAGTGCGGATTAGCATACTCGACAGTCGCCCTGCGTCGCTGCGTGTTCCCCTAGACGTCAGCAGGGAGATGGAACGTGGAGTGCAGCAGGGACAGCGGGAATTGCTGGGAAAAAGACCTGCCCCGCAGCCAGGCCATGAGACTCTCTGGCAGAGCCTGCCTGCCCGCCGAGCGCGTCGCCGCCCCCCCGCCGCCCGCCCGGCCCGGCATCCCAGGATCCATTCAGAAGCTGGGCACTCGCCGGGCCCTGCACACCTGCCCTCCCCCCAGAGCCAGGCGGCCGGAGCACGGCCGCGCCCCCCGCCTCGCCCTGCGTGGCGCAGGGGGTCAGCGGAAGAGGGAGCGGTGGGGAGATCGGTCAGGCCCTTCAGGCATCCCGGGGAATTTGAACCCAGGCCTTCCGCATCCCTGCCGCCGCCTCCCCCTTCAGGCTTAGCTGTTTCCTCGCGGCGGGGCTGCTCCTTACGCAGCGAGAGGGCGAAAGGCCGCCCGGCCGGCCGCGCATCCTGCTCGGGGGAGGGCGGGAGGAGACTGCAAAAAACACGCACCGAGCCCAAAAAATGTCGTCACAGTCCGTGTGACGACAACAGCTGCTCTATCAAGCTGCTGAAAATACAACTGAAATCCATCGGCAGCTGCCTAGAGGCGCTGGACGGTTTTGTCAGCACTGCAAGTACAGAGCAGGATTTGATCCATTGTGGATTTGAGGCGGGAAGGGGGGAATAGTTCCCCCCTTCACAGGCTTGGGCCGTCGGGGCCGGGGGTTGAGGTGCACTTGGGTTGCGGGAGGAGGATCCGGTAGCTTGGATCTCTGGGACCATTGCCCCTTCCTTCAAGGGGGTCCTTGGCAGGATTGGGGGCTTCAGATAGAAGGGGATGTGCACCCCTCGGGTAAGAAAGCGCAGGTTCTCTTCCTGCTTCTCCTCCTCGTCTTTGTTTTTTTTTCTGCGTCCAGCATCTGTCAGATGCCCGGACACTCGACAAGGCACGGACGGATCTCCTGGCCCTGCCGAACTGCCTCAGACCTTCCTTCATGGGCTCCAGCGACCGTTGAGGAAACCAGATCAGCGCCTTCTCCTGCCCCTAACCCTGGTTTTGCGGTGTGGGCAGAGCCGGGCCTGGGCATAGATCTGCTTTTAGTTGCTCTTTTTGCTTAGGGAATGAAAAGGGGGATGTCACGCTTCGTTTCAAAGGGAGATGATCGCTCTCTTTGGTACTCCTTGCGATGGGGTGGAGGTGAGGAGAGTGCCGCCTGCAGCCCGCTGTCCCTCCGGACACTCCCGTGTCCTACTCTTGGCCAGTGTCACCGTCCTGGGGTCCCCCGCATCCCTGCCGGAGTGAAGGAGCAGAGCAGCACTGCCCGGCAGACCTCTCCCGGGGAATGGGGGACACGGAGGTGACAGCGCCCACCCTGTCCCATTCCCAAGGAAACCTCACGCAGGTGACCGGCCATGGCGCGGGGAATCGTCCCATTGGGGGTGACATCCAAGCGTGCGTGTTAGACGGGAGAGAAGCGGGGAGAGGCTGAATTCCCCGCGTATCCTCGATGCTGAAAACGGGTTTTAAAGGGTCTGCAGACCCCTGTCATACGGCAGTGCTGGGGGGAAGCCAGCTCCGGCACTGCCGGTGTCAAAACGCTTGCTGTGCACTCCCCAGCAGCATCCTTTGAAACTCCAGTTTGGCAGGGGTTGAAGGCATTGCAAGGCTGCTCCGGCTCGCTCGGTGGCATGGCACGCTGGGGACACGGCCGAATAGCAGAGAAATGCGCCCCCGGTGAAGCGGGTTTCGGCAGCAACGACTCCGTGCTGGAGAAGTCCCACTGGCTTATGCAGCTGCCGGCTCCCGCACCTCTCTCCGAAAGGGGCAGAGCTGCCGGTTATTTCAAATGAGCAGCTTTGAATCCGATCAGATAAACGCTATTTATTCACTCTTGTAACCTAATAATTCCAGATGAATACATAATCCTAAAACAGTACTGGCTCGCTCCCAGGGCAGTCAAGGGGGTGGGAAGAGCAGCGGAGGGCGGGGAGGGAAAGCGCGACCTCCAGAGCCTCCACAAAACCGGGAGAGACGGGTCTAGGTTGGGGACCCTTTGTTCCAGCGAAGATGCCGTTTTCTCAGCACACAAAGAGTGGCAGCAGAGACGGCGTGGGGACACACTGGTTGTCCTTCTTTCTCCCTGTGAGGAGTGCACGCGGATCGGGGCTGGTTCTCTTCAATATTCCTTTAAACCCAAGGAGCGGCTGAGGTGTAATCCGGGGTTTCTAACAGCCAGCTCGAGATTTGCTTTTTTCTTAGGCCAGTTGAGGCTGTCATTAGCACTATTCCCGTTACTGAAATACTTGGTGAGAGCAGCAAAGTCATCTCACGTCCATCCGGGCTGGGGAAAGCCACACTGCAGAAAATGCACCAGAGAGGTGTGTTTATATTCGTAACGTTAATGTAGATGAATGTTAGTTCCGCAGTACGTAATAGTTCTATTTCGACTCTCCATAGTTCATTTTTTTCGGGCGAAAATAAAATATTGGGAGCGGGAAGGAGGGTCAGAAGGAGGAACTAGGTCTATCTGGAATTTAAGGATGTATCAGTGGCGGGGGGAAGAGAGCAGCCCTACACCGTTCTGCCTTTCCCGAAGCGCCCAGGCAGCGGCGTGCCCGGTGCTCCCGCGGGCGGGCCGGGTCGGGCCGGGCCGGGCCGGGCCGGGCCGGGGGGGCTGCGCCGGGTCCTCACCCACCTTCTCCCACGCTTTTCTCCGCGGTGCGGTGGCTGCGGTTTTAGCATCTCCAAGGTTAAATGAACGACTGGGCTGGGACGTTTCCCTCAGCTCCCTGTGTGAAACCGCTCTCGCTTCCTGGGTCGCTTTCTCGCCGCAGCCTGGGCTTTAAGGCGAGACGGGGGTTAGCGAAGGCTACACAAAGTTTGCCTTTTCATGGCAGATCAGGTACTGGGCTCCCAGCCAATTCATCAGGGCTCAGATCTTTACTTTACATCACTGCAAATTATACCCAAACCACATTCAAGAAGAATTTTCCCATTCCCAAATTCTCTTTCAAGCCATATTTAAACTCGCAAACCAAAAGCACATTTGCAGTTTAAAGACACTTTGCAGGCACTCACACAACAATAATCTGGAAATTAAAACATAAATTGTCCCTAATTGCGAAGGTCTGCCCACACGTTGTCTGCAGAGTCGCAAGGCTGACAGGTATTTCTTTCGGAGCATTACCCAAGCTGTGGAAACAAGGGGCTGACTCTCCATGTGTGGTATTTCTTCGGGTTTCAATTCCGCATCTCCCAGCGCCTGTCTCGCCGTGGTTTTCTATTACACCGAGTGATTAGATTTAAATGTATCGTTCGCTTCGCTATCGAGTAACCGGGAAAGACCACACCTTCCTCGGACGAATTCCCAATCCTGCCAAAACCCCAGCTCGCTGATGGAGGGCTGTTTCCTTTTGTTTTGTTTTGTTTTGTTTTCGTTTATTCTCCTCGGAGCGCGGAGGCACCTGGCTGTGATGTACCTTTGATCACCGCTGTACAGTACCTGCTCCGGGAAGGCTGCCTGCCCTCGCCCCACTGCCCCGCTCGTCGCCGCCTCTCCGCTTCCCACGAGAGACACTCGACCCTCAGGCGCAGAGGGACCGTCACAACACCCGCGGGACATCCCTCTGGGCTCCGGCCCCCTTGGCCGTTGCCATCGTCCCACGAGATGCGCTGAGGCGGCGAGGAGCTTCCTTGAGGGTTTCTACCTGCTGTAACAGACCTTAAGCGAGGACCCTTCCCTTTCCCCGTTTGCGGTGGTTACGCTACCCTAGATATTTCGATGGAGGAGAAATAATTCCTCCAGAATTACTCGGGTTGAGAAAATCGGACTAAATATTCCCAGCGCTCGGAGCTAAGAAATGGAGCAAGGGAACGCTTTAGAGTATATTTCTGAGCGATATATGTGGAAGCGCCGGGATACAGCAACAGAGCATACAGATCTGGCTACAACTAGCAAGAACTGAAACGTCCCCTTTCGCTCATAAATCAGACTTCAGGCACGGGAGGACTCGCAAACTCAGTTCCAGCCTACCCCGAAATCGCAAGGAAAGGAGGATTTCTACGATCGGCTGGTTTTGGGTTTTTTTCTACTACGAAGCGAGGATGTAAATGAGGGGAGCGAGGCGCCCCGCTGCCGTGCCCGGCGCCGGGTGACCCCGGCCTGCGTCGGTTTTCCTCCCCGCGGGCCGCTCGCCTCCCGGCTGGGGCCAGCCCAGCTGCGGCACGGCACCTCCCCGCGGGCGGCGGAAACTACACAGCTCCGAGGCGGAGAGCTCGACCTTCCGTCCCCACCAATCCCCTCCCCGCCCCTAAAAAATCAAACGCAACGCCTCAGCAAGTTCCGCAGGAGGGTTTCTGGATTTTAAAAATATAAAAAAAAAAAATCAGGACCGGGTCCGAAATGAGCCACCGGAATGGTGGCTTGACAGGCGTTAACTACTCGTTCCCGTTAGCAGAGCGGCTCCGCGGCCGCGCACCGCCCCGCCGACCTACTTGAGCCGCGGGGCTCCCGGGGCCGGTGTGCGCTGCTCCCCTGCATCGCCCTCCCCGTCCCGCGGCGCTGCCTGTGCGAGCTCCCGCGCCTTCGCAAGGACAACAAACAAACGAAAGGTAAATAAAAAAATACCCCCCCCGCCGACAGCCCCGATTTTCACCGGGAAGAGGTGAGCGGTGCCGCCGCGGTTGCTGAGGGGACGCTGCGCTCCGCTCCCTCCTGCAGCTGCTGCAGCGCGGGGGGTAAAACATCGACCCCCGGAACACCCCTCCGGCGCAGGCAGCGCGGAGCCGCCGCCCGCTTCTCGCTGCCCCCATGCCGCCGGCTCCGCGGACGCCGGGGCCGGGCCGGACCGCCCGCTCCTTCCCCGGGCGCACGGCGGGGATGAGGAGCGGCTGCCGCGCTCCTGCCGTCTGGTCTGCATTAGTGTTTTTATAAGGGTCTCAAACAAATCGAATACAAGGTCACCAAATAATTAACAGTTGTGAATTCCCTCCTTCCCCATTAAAATACTTCCCTGCTTATTTTTCATTTTCCTTCTGCCAACGACAACATTGCCTGGGCAAAGGCGCTGCAGAGATTACACTACATTGCAGCTTTCGGTCCACCCAGAAACCCGCTGTTTTGCATAACTACGTTGCACTAGATGAACTTCAAGTGGGATTTACACTCTTTTCTTCTGCCACATGCACAGCCGGGCCATTTCCAGTTTCTCTGCACACAGGATCCCCCTCTTTTGTCCTGCCTCTCTACTCACCCCCCTCCCGACCTTCCTGGCAAGAGCAAAATAACGATGGTCGGACTCCTGCCCATCCAAATCAGCTGCCCTCCTAACTGGAACGCGAAACTGCACAAAGAAAACGGGGAGGGAAAAAGGAGACGATCTCGACCTATTTCGACTTCCCCGTCCCTTAGGCGCGGAGCGGAACATTTCGCATGCGGTCGAGGTCCCGTGTCTGCGGGCAGCTCTGCAGACACAAAAGGGAGAGGCGAGGGGCACCCGCGGCAGCCGGCCCTTGTGGTACTCCCTTCCCACGGGAGATCCCTTCGAAAATCGCGCTCCCTCGCACCCTGGCTATTTCCTTTTTGTTTTCGGTTTGTTCCGAGTCGTGCCGCGTTTCTTGCTAGCCATGGAATTGCTTGTTTATAGCTCCCTTCTCCAGCTCCCTCCCGCTCTATCCTTTTTTTTTTTTTTTTTTTTTTTTTTTTCCCTGCCTGGTAGAGTCCTTGCAGCTCCTAATTGTCCTGCCTTACTGTGGAGCTCCAATGCTGGGGGTCCTGAGGCCAGTGAGAGCACCATCTGCGTTTTAATGAGTTACTTCATGTGCCAACAGTAATTTTCCTACATTCAGCTAGGTCCTGTCTGATCTTGCGACCGTAACAAGGGGGAGCGAGTGGGGGGCGGGAGGGGGTGGAGAGGGGAGAATCGCAAACCCTTTCCCCCCTTTCTGCGCTCTTTTTTTACCGATGGGGAAAAAATTATATATATATTATACAGTAGTGTGGCTTCACTCCTTCTCGAGCTACCCTGAAAACGATCTTATTAGCTTCAAGCGGGAAGGGAAGAAACAAGAGGCGAAGGGAAGAATTTGTCAGTGTCCACACCGAAGCCTCGGAGTAAGGTGGGACGGGCGGGCTTGGGACTGCTGCGGCCGAGCTGCCTGTCCCTCCGGACCCTCTCTCGGACATGCAGGCACAGCAGCCCGCGTCGTAAGGGAAGGGTATTTCTCGGCAGGACTAAAAGTTGTCTCACGCTTCTCTCCGGGCTGCTGTCCCCCCTAAATGCTGCCATGAAGGATGGCGTGCAGCAGGTGGGACAACCACCGTCGTCTCCCCTGGGAGCTGCCGCTTTAGGTAAAGAGCAGCTCATCTAATTGGGTCAATTTGGGCGGCTATATTGTCTGTAAATGAATTGACAGAAACTCTGATCCCCTTCCCCGTTTTCCCTGAGCAAAGATTGTTCACCATCAGCACAACTCCAGCTCGCCAATTAACTGGGCTAGGAGCCCACGGGGAGGTGGGCAGTAAAATAGCTACCACTTCAGAGGAACGGAAGCTCTCTTGAAGTTTTTTGGTGATGTGCCATTGGCTGGTCCGCTTCATTATGGGAGACTAGACAATATTTGATATGTTATGACATGAACACTCAATTAGATCACTGAGTTGAAATACTCCAATCAGTGGCTTGATGCTAAGCAACCCTCAGAAGGTCCAGCAGAAGGTCACAGCCTGTGACACATCAAATCAAAATCAACGGGGAAAAGTGAGGCTTTTCCTTAATCAAACCAGGACTTCTGTTAGCAAATCACTTCCCCTGGAGTAGAATCTCACATGCAGCGAGATGAGCTAAATTTGTTAAATTAACTGTCTTTCTTCTGGTTATCAAGAATAAGATGATCTCGAGCGCGGCTCCATTTCCTGCGGCTCGCAGACTTAGCATCCCGTTTCCTCTCCGCCAGGAAGAGCGGGCCAGCTCCTTTCTGACGGCTGAATTTTCGAAACCTTATTTCTAGAAGGCGAGTTCTCTTCCCCCCCACCCCCGCTTTCAACAGAGACGAAGAAAACAACCCCCATAAGGCGAAGGCAGATAGGAAAACCCGTGTCTCGTCTCCCTTCGGAAACGTCTGCGCTCTTCCGACCGTGAGGAGCACACAATGTGGGCGCTTCCACGCACCCTCCCGAGCCCAGAGGGGCTCGACGGGCACTGGGACGGGAGGCGAAGTGCCCTGCCGAGCTCCTTCCGGGGCTAAACCCCCCCCCCGAGCTGGGGATAGCGATGGGGCAAGGGGCTGGCTGAGCCGTGGGTGCCGTGGGCGGGGAGAGGCTTCCGGCTCGGGGAGGCGGAGAAGGGGATCGGTTTGGGTTCGGTTCGGTTTGGGGGGCGATCGGCTCCTGTAGCTCCAGGGAGCTGCTCAGTTTTCCTGGCACTGCGTTTTGCCCTAAAACGGCTGGGACGCGGGGGAAGGGGGGCGAGCTGCCCCGGCAGCGGCGGGACGGCGCTGCCAGCCGCCGGCAGGTACACGAGGGCCCCGGGGGGCGCGGACGGAGGGGAGGGTCTTCAGAGCTGGGAGAGGGGGAGGAACGAAAGCACAGCCTTCATTAAGAACCTGTTAATTAGTCTGTTCTTAATGGCTCACAACCAGAATAACGAAAAAAAGAAAAAAGGGGAAAAAATGGAGGCGTTTTTTATGGAAGGGAAATTTTACTCTGGATCGGCGAGAAACCTGCACCCGCTGCCCCGAGTACGAGCGTCCCGGCCAGAGCTGCAGGTCATGGAGGGGTCCCGGGAGCCCCGCGGCACCGATGCTGCCCGGGGAGAGCGGGGGCAAGGCGTGGGGCCCGGCTGGCCCCGGCGCCACGTCCGCCTCCCTCCTCCGGGGAGGCAGCCGAAGGCCCGGGAGAGCGGCCTCGGCTGCTAGTCCCAGACCGGAGGTGGGTGACAACCAGCCCCGTACACACCAGGCTCAAAGGGTGCGGCCCCGGAGCAGATGTCAAGTTCGGCCGCCCCCCCCACTAAGCCGCGGGGCCGCAGCGGAGCCGGCCGGTCCCAGCCCCAGCGCGCTCGGATGGGGCCGGGGCTCTTCCAGGTAACCCCGATAACGCGACCCGAGGCGAGGGCAGCTTCAGGCAGGCAGCCCTCGGTCAGTTTGAACTTTCTTTCTGCCGTGCAGCCGCGGCGATAAGAGCGACTCTTTCTCCGGCGGATGGAAAGAAACCAGAAGAGTGATGCTAATTTTCTTTTTTTCATGACTGAATTTACGCCCAAAGTGCGCCTGCAAAGCTGGGACGTGTTTCCCACCACCTCGTGACGATTCGGGGAGGAACACTCGTGTTTCTCACAAGCAGTGCTTACGGCTGCCACGGCGCCGTTTGCTTTAAAATAAAACAACGCGTCCCCCAATTCACCGAAAAATCTGCACTTTTCTGCAATACCGGGGCGGAGAACAGCACCGGTGACCGCTGCAGAGCGCTCCCCGACTCCCCCAGCACCAGGCCCCGCAAGAAGGGGCGCCTGCAGCCCCAGCGGGACGGCGAGGGACGTGGAGGGGGCCAGAACTTACCTCGTCCCCTGTCTACAAAACTAGAGATGGTGTTGGCGGACTTGGACGACTGAAAAAAGCTGGCGTTGATGCCCAGTTTTTCCGCGATGGAGTAAGTCCTGAACAGAGACAACATGTACTCGTGGGGTTCTGCCCGTGGGAGCGCCCGGCCCATGGCGTGTCCCCCTTGCCGCGGGCGGTTCTCTCGTGGAGACCGCGGCACCCTGCGGCTGCGACCACCTTTGGAGGAGGCGGCGAGCTCCGAGGCGGCGGGGAGAGAAGCCGGGAGGCAGCAAGGTAAATCCCAGAGGAGACTGGCGAACAAGGCGGCGGAGAGTAGGGCCCGGCGTGCATTCATAGCGAGAGGCGGCGGCGGTGGGAAGGGAGAGGGAGGGCGGCCCGACGGGCGGCTCCGGCGGCCCACGGAGCGGCGCGGGGACTGCGCGACGGCGTGGCGCGGAGCGGGGACTGCACCCGGCCGGGCTCGGCCCGCAGCAGCCCGCCCCGCCCCGTGGGTACCGCCCCGCCGCGGACCGCCCTGTGGGGGCACCCAGCCCGCCCCCGCGGGGCGGTCCGCGGCGGGGCGGGACACCCCTTGGTCGAGTGCTTGGGGGTCCCTATGCTTTCTCCTTACTGTGGACGCCACCCGGGAAGTGGACACGAAGGCTGGGGAGAGATGCTGTACATCTTGCTGCCACCCCTCGGGTACCGCTTCTCATCAATCTGCCGATGGTTTAATCTGTTCAGGTGCCTCGCAGGTGCTTCAGTTTTGGGTGTGGGCAGACTCGTGTGATGTTAATGACTTTATTTGAGGCTCTCTGTATTCCCCTGCCTGTGTGCCCAGGAACTTGGAACAAAGCAGTGGTCTTTCAAGAAAGAGAATTTTGTGGAGAGTGTCTCACCTTGGGATATGCCAGGGCCCATCTAGAGAGCAGCCTTGAGGCAGGCCCTGCCACCCATCAGAGAAGGAAGGGAAAGCATAGGAAGTGCCAGAGACCATTCTCCTTGTCTCAAAATCTGCAAAAGATGCCAAAGAGGGGACCAGTCTGAGAGGAGCACAGTGCCAGCCTGGGGCCTGGGAAAAGGCACTCCTGGGGGGCACTACTGGGGCAGGCAGCACTGTCAAGATAATCAGGGCAGCCTGGGGCAGGCAGAAAGACTCCTCAAAGCAGGGCACAGATTTGCTTTGCACTGATCATGAAGAAGACAGCAGTGAAGCAGAAGTACGAGTATTCAAATATTCACCCACCCCTTTTCATTTGGCTTTTCAGAGGTGCATCCTGCAGCATAAGACTGGTGTCACCTCTCCAATGGTTTCACCCAAGCACCTATTCATGGTTCAAAGCCATGGTAACACACTTGCGTTACCCTATCTGTCCTGATCACTATTTATTTTCTCTTCACCTTCTCATCCTCCTGCCTGAACCATGGCAGTGCTGCTGCAGGCAGCCACAAACCACCCTCCTCTGCTTCCCAGTGTGGCTTTTCTTTGCCCTATGCCAAGCTTCCCTTCTCTCCTCTCCTCTCCTCTCCTGATCTCCCATTTTCTAGTTCTTCCTACCTCTCCTATCTGCCCCAGCTCTGCCACTGGTGGATTTTCCTCTCATTACAGCAAGAGGTCATGTGCATTTAGCCGTGAAAGCTTGGTCCATAGTAAATAAAAGGAATCTGGCTTTCACCCTACATTGAATTTGAGATTCCTGACCACGCTCCTCCATCAGGTGCTGTTCTTCATACGTTGGACATTCTTGTCTTTTTCTTCCCTGTTCTCATTTTCCACCAAGAGAGAGAGATTCATACCTGGACTTTTGGCACCACTCCCAGTGCAACACAGCATCAGTGAGATCAGGCAGACCCTGACAGGGCATATGGAGCAGGTATCTAGCTTGGCAGGTCCCAGCTTGCCTGTAGGGTCCTCAGTCCCACTGTTCTCCCCAGCTCCTAGGGAGAGATTCTGGGGGAGATGAAGAGCATGAGGGGAACGTTCAAAGCAAGTGAAGGACTCACATTCCAAGTGACCCAGGCTGCATCTCTACTAGGGAAAAAGATAATTCTGAGACAGAAGGTCCTGCAACCTTCCATGCGTGGCTTAGAGAGCTCCCTGGTGTGATTTTGGCCCATGCCAACAAGTGCTTTCCCAGCTGGTACTCAGGCCTGTTACAAGTTATGGCTTGTGCCAGGTGCTCTCCCCAGACGGCCATTTGGATGTGACCATGTAGATGTGAGACACATCATATAGCTGGGATTAGAGAATGGGGTCCATCATTGCCTTGGCTTCTTTTTAGTAGGACAGATGTACTGCAAGGTGCTGGCAGATGAACTGTGAAGAGGCGGGGCTACAAAAGAGTATCAGTGACAGTGCAGAAATGAGGCAAGTGTTCTGCAAAAACAATTCCTGCATCATTTCATCCCTTTTTTTCACCCCATTTTATTTATTGTGCTTTCAGTCCTCCGGCCTATCCTCTGGCTTCACAGATATCCTCTTGACCATTTCCCTCCCTTTTCATCAGCTGCTTTCTGCACTGAGACCTTCCCCTTTCCTCCTGTCCCTTTGGCTTCACTTTTCTGATGCCTCACTTTTGTTACTTCTGCTGCCCTTTGCCACTTCCATCCTTTCTGCTCTGTACTTAGCATTTTTGCTATTTTTTTTCTAGCCATGACCCAGTTACTTCTGGCGCTTTATCATCACTTCTTTTTTTGTTTCCTTCTGCCCCTTTTGTGCCCTATTCGCTTATTCCACACTCCTGTCGACTATCTCCAATCAGCTGCCCAGCTCCAGTTTCTCCTCCATCAACTTCTGCCCAACCCTAGACCCCCAGGCTCTTTCTTTTCTCTCCTGCTGCATTTCATTGTCCTATTTTCCTTTTCTGATATTGTTCCCACTTCCCACATCCCCTCCTTGTGGTCCGAAGTGCTGCTGCTGCACGGCTGCCCTTTCCCACTCCCACCCTGCTGTTTTCCAGGGACCCCTCATTGCTCCTGGAGTGTCTGTTCCCTTCCTGCCTTTGTCTCTCAGTCTGTCTCTCTTCTTCCCTCTTTGTTCTCAGCTTTTTCCTCCCTTGGCCTCCTCCTCTCCCAAGGGAAGGTGGTTTCATACTAATGCAAAGCTTCAAGGATTGGGTGGTCTCAAGAGCAACTTCCATCAGCCTGATTTAATTTCTACCTGCTGTTTTTGCATGTTTGAATGCATTTCTCTAAAATTGACTTGGATGGCTGCTTTTCACTCTCACTTTTTTATCAGGAGCCTGACTTGAAGCCCTCTGCAGCCGACGGGAGCCTTTCCCTTGGCTCTGGTGACCTTTCAGGCAGCGTGGAGGCTGAGGGAGGCAGACACCCTGCTGGTAGCACCCCAAGACTGCGTTGCTTACCAGATAGTAGTACACGCACAGGTAGTAGTAACAGTCATAAAGCAGGCAGTGTTGCTTTCCTGCCTGTTTCTCTCAGAGTTAGGTTGCTCAGGGTGTCCTCTTGCCATTTCAGAAGACAATGCCATTGTTCAGTACAGCTAATTGCTAAGACAGTCACTTAAGGGAATGACAGTGCAAGGAACTGTGGAGATACAGCACTTGTGGCACCCTATGCAGCTACACAGTCAGGTCACTGTGAGGGATTTGAATATATCAAACCATCTTAAGAAATTTTAGTTTTGATTGTCACTGAGAAAACTGTGTGGAATTGGACCTGGGAACTGCAGGCAGGAGTGGGCACTTTGCGGGGCAGCATGGAATGAATCGGCGCCTGTGAAATACTTGGGATCCTGCCTTCAGCGCTCAGCAAAGGGCGTAATAATGGCAGAAACAATAAAAAGAGTAAAATAATAGCAGCCACCAGAAAAGAAGAATAGCATTTTTTGAAATTATGTTCTTTCCGGTTTTCTCAACAATAAAAAAGTTGTCCAGATTTCAGTTTATAATTGCATCATAAATATTTTGTAACTATTTTTTTATTTCAAATATGTTAGTTTGGAGACAGCAAAAATGCAGTTTTAAAACCAGTTTTATTAATGTCCTTGCACTAGCACGCACAGTTTTCACATCTTTCACATTTTTTACTTTCTGTGAATTTGCTATGCTGGGGAAAAGAAAAATTAATGAAGGCAAATTTGAAAGTCAGAAAGCAGTGCAAATGAAAGGTGATTTTTTTTTCACCTCGAAGTTTAATGGCAATGTCTCTTGCTATAACCATAACATGAGCAGTGATGTTGAGGAAGAGTGTCAGAGGTTAAAATTTGTCCCTGCACAAGTGGTCAGTCCAAGACCTAAGTATCACTTATTTCACCTCAGATTTGTGGCCATTTGTAAGAATTACGGTGGTGCATAAGGGGCATTAGTACAGAGTTGATCAGTTTGTAGACAATCCTTCTTAATATCTTTTTATTTTTTGCATCTAGGTTGTGGCTTGTTTTAACATGAACTGTCCATTGTAGGATTTTTATTTCTGTGAACCAAAATCATTTTTTGTTAGGATGACTAGAAAATGTACCCACTCAAACTATGGACTTTTTCCCCCTTTACCACAAAAGCTTCAAAAAGACTGTGGTCACACCACATAATCATGGGGTAGTGATTCCTACCCACACAGCAGTTAGCACAACATTTTCTGAAATGCCTGTGTAGTCCATATGTGCTGGTTTTCAGCAAAACACCAGCCTTCACAAGCCTTGGCTTTCAAAACAGGACTTGTCTTTCAAAGGCCCTGGTTCTGAAGCATTAAATTCCCATCGCTTTTAGCCTCAACATTTTTAGCACCTCTGCTTCCTTGCTGCAGTGCTCCTGAAAAGCTTGGGTTTCAGTGCTTCATACTGGCAGGAATATTTATTTTCAGTAGGTATATTTTGACCCAGGCATTGTTTCCCCTTCCCCAGGTGGACTTTCCCTCCTGGGTAAGGTGCCAGCTCCTCTCCCTGCTGGCTGGGCTGCCCTGATCTTGGCTGAGAGCATCTTCTGGGATGGAGCACCAAGCTCCCTTCTCTGCTGCCTGCGTCCTGAACCATCACATTAGCCAAACATATTTTTTTTTTTTCCTTTTTTTCTTAATATGGAAAACCCATGATTTTTTTTTCTGAACGTATTTATTTCAGCCTACCCCATCTCCAAACTGTCAACATAAACCTCAAAAGTCTATGCAGACCAAGATTTTTAACTGCTGAAACTATGGTGTGCAAGCTAACAGGAGGTAAAGGGGCATAGCCAAATAAATAGGGTTGCCTCAGGAGAGTCTGAACTATCTCCCACATTGTGGTCCTCCAAAGAAAGTTCAGTTTCACTTTCCAAGTATCCCACAAGGGATCTGCACCTCTCCCAGCGCCTCACAGCCCACAGGGCTCTTCCAGGCAAGTCCTCCGTGTTCCAGCTCAGT